TTAATTATTACGAGGTGTGCAAATTTTGAGTTAAAATCAATAGTTCATTCATTAGTTATTGAGGTCTAAATTTGCTATAGGAATTACTTGGAATTGATTAGGGTTTGGTAAGGATTTGATTAGGGATTAGACTTTGGTTTAGGATTTGGTTTAAATTAGGATTTGATTAGGATTTTTTTAGAATTTGATTAGGATTTGATTATGATTTATCTATGATTTGTCTAAGATTTGGATAGGTCTTATTTAGGATTTATCTAGGAATTGACTAGGATTTATCTGAGATTTGATTAGGGCATATTTAGGATTTATTTAGGATTTATTTAGGATTTTATTAAAATTTTATTAGGATTTAATTAGGATTTAGAGTTTGATTTAGGATTTGGTTTAGATTAGAATTTGATTAGGATTTATTTAGGATTTGATTAGGATTTAATTATGGTTTATCTAAGATTTGTTTAAGGTTTGGTTAGGACTTATTTAGGATTTGTTTAGGATTTCGTTTTATTAGGATTTATCTAGGATTTGTTTAGGATTTGATTAGGACTTATTTAGGATTTTTTTAGGATTTGACTAGGATTTGACTAAGATTTGGTTAGAACTTATTTAGGATTTCATTAGGATTTATTTAGGATTTCATTAGGATTTGATTAAGATTTGTTTGGAATTTTATTAGAATTTGTGCAGGATTTGGTTAGGATTTGATCAGGTTTTGGTTAGAATTTATTTGGAATTTAGTTAAGATTTTTCTAAGATTTGGTTAGGGCTATTTAGGGTTTGAATAAGGTTTGATTAAGGTTTGATTAAGGTTTAACTAGGATTTTTCCAAGGTTTGACTAGGTTTTGATTAGGATTTAATTAAGTTTTTTATTTTAATTTTTTATTGAGATTTCTATTTTAATATATATTTTTTAAAATTCTATATTATTTATTTATGATTTTTTAAAGGAATTTCTAAAAATTCTTTGTATTTCTTGTATAATTTCTTTGAAATTTTAATTGAATTTAATTGATGCTTGATTATATTTTATAATCTTTAATTATAATTTAATTAAAAATTTATTAGATCTGTTAGAATTTGTTGTTGCAATTTTCCTTTTATCTTCCACAGCCAGGAGCTTGGTGTACTTTCAAGCCAAATACCATGTAATATGACACCCAGCATCTAGATATGGAAGGTGAAGTTATGTTTTATAAGTATCTAAGAAACTTTAATAGATTTCACCTATATAAGAAGAACGCAATTCGAATTTCAATTCAAAAGTACTTAAAGTCAATACAAAGTGCTCAAAAACACTCTTCTTAGTAACCTCAATCATACACAAACTCCAATTGCCTTATTACTTTCATAATTAGATAATTTTGATTTTTCTTTGCCAGCCCTAATCCTACTTAATGAGCTTCAATAAGTTATAATTCTTAATTTGACCATTTATTTAGTACAAAGTTTTGCACACAAATACCACTATAAGTCTTTTACATGTATAGAAAAATTCAACCTAATCCAACTTATAGATTGTGAAAAAACATCCAAAACATTGAACTAATGTTATTTGGCTATTGACTCAAAAGTTGATACAAATATTCTACTAAAGATTTATTTTTCTTTGACTATTAACTTCAACTCAAAATTTCATCTTGTTCTAACTAGATCTTTAGGTATCATAGAAATCCTACTCAATCTCAAAGTGCCAACTTTTGATACCCTCTTATATCAAAAATAGCATATCTTTCAACTGCACCATTAAATTCATACAAAATTTTATACAAACTTAGTACTTTTAATCAACCAAATATTATTAAATTTTAAATTATAAATGTGATACCAATTGTAGAAACTAGATGAGAGTACTAGCTCTAATTGTATTGCATAAATTCAAAGTCATAAATACAAATCCTGGCTTTGAACAACAATTGCAAAGTCATCTCAAATCCTATGAAAATAAGCCTTATGTCTCTAGAACAAACTTAAAGCTAGCTCTCCAATCCCAATTGCCAATTTCTAAATGCTCCCACATTTTACCTTAGGTAGTTATTTTAGTAGCTAAAAGTTTAATTTCAATCTTGTTCCACAAATGGTTAACCCTTGGATATCAATCCAACCTATTCTAAGGAATTATTAACTTGATCCTATTCTTAACTTAACCTTAGTATCAACAATATTAATTATTTATCTTGTTTATATTATTTACCTTCTTATTACCTATTTTTTATCTTTTTAAAGTAGTAAAAGAATTTCTATAATTTAGAAAGTAAAATTATTGACTACCCTTTAATCTACTAGCTATTAAGACAAGAAAATAAACTAAGAGGCTTTTATAAAAGCATGTTTAAATGTCTTGAATTATTATTGAACCAAAATGATTAGATATTAATTAGAATTTCATTTTTGATTATATTTTCACCATATAGTCATGTTACAACACAACAACAATTGTGATGAATTTTTTTTATCCATATTTGATTCTAGTTTTCCATTTCCATGTACCAAGGTCGACATATTCCATATCTTTGAATTATCAGTAAGATCAATTCATTGTAATGTACTTTGAGATGAGGCAGTCCCACCATTAATACTCAATTTATAAAAGTGAGACTCTACATTTCAATGCCCCAATGTATATATTTTTTTAGAGGTGAGAATTTGTGATGGCAATATATCTTTCCTTCTCAAATATCAATAGTTGATCACTATTGCGCACAAACTGATCAACCAACAGTAGATTCTGTGTTAAGCCAAGGACGTAAAAAACGTTTTTCAGCATTATTTCATCATTTGTTTCCAAAAAATTTACATCTCCTTTGCCTATCATGGAGTGTGTCCTACCATCCGCTGTTGCTACTGTTTGCTATTCCAATAAAAATTTCAGATGGGTGAAAACTCCATGGTTTTCCCAGAAGTGTAGCGAAGCTCCGTTGTCTATTATCCATTCTTTCTCTTGCAATGCAACAAATAGAATCTGTAATGCTTTCTGAATCTCGCTGGGAGTGGGAAATCCTTTTACTGATACATGGTTGGCTTTAAATTAGTACCGATTCAAGCTTATAGGTTCTTATGCAAGAAAATACCTTGCACTATGTCCTGGTTTGCCACACCGGTGACACTGCTGTAATAGACTATTCTTTACGTTCTCTAGCATTTGATCAACATTGTGATAGTCTATTTCGAAAGTTGTTGCTTGAGTAATTCAAATTTCTGGAACCCGTGAATTCCCTTCGTGGATTGTTTCTTGTTCTGAGCATAAGAGCTTCTTCATTCAAACTTGACCTTAACTTCATTTCTAATTCCTCCATGTGCAATCTGCTAGCTAGACTTGAGAGAGAAGGTGTTACCCTTTCTACTCGCAGCATTTTCACAAATGTTTCATATTTCTCTGGCAAGTTTTTGAGAATCTTGTGTACAATAATAGTGTCTATTGGCAGTTCGTTGATCTCGTTTAGATCATTCAGAAAATCATATATATGTCGTATAAAATAGATACCGACATATCTTCTGTCATCTTGAGATTTTTCCTCTTGTCTAAAATTTTCATCACACCTACAATTGTTTTTGTGAAATATACATTTGCAAGGATTTCCCAAGCAACTGCAGGATCAAAGGTATTCAGGATGTAGGGTTTTACCATTTCTGTCAATGAAAGGCAAAGAAAGCCCATTGCCCTTGTTCTTTGTTTGTGGAGAATCTCCTTTTCCTGCTGTGTTAAGGTTATCTCTGAAACAGTGTCGTTGGCTTCACTCAACGTTACTTCTGCTTCTTGCTCCATCGTAGATGTACTCAACGAGGTGCTACTGTCCGATGGTTCTCTCATGAAGTCTTGGTTAGGACTACCACATCCCACAAATCTTCTCGCTCCAACACGCTTTGCATGGTACTGCTCTATACCTTGTAGTTGTCTGGACTTGCACGCATTTTCAAATGTGCGATGATAGAATCCATCAATCCCATTACTTTTTCTCGTAATACTAGTTCTCTCTCTTTTACATCGCTCGCTCTGATACCATATTGAATCGCATTCTATCAATCCTCAATACTTGATAATAGAAACTGCAGACCAGTCTCCTGCGCCTATGAGCCATTGTAGATCAAAGTAAAAACACACAGAATAACAAGTGCAAACAATTACCCAAGAATCAACAGTGACACCACTACGTGTACTGAGAAAAGTGAACTATAAATTTCATCGCACGCGTTGTTCTTATACAGAATAAGCTACTCTATTCCGATGGATATCTATTTGATGTATTGATGGGTGTCCAGAGCTATGTCTCGATGATACCTTATCTATGATGATGACATCTACAATGTTGATGTAAATGTTCTAGTAGTATCTAGCAGACAGGGCATCTATCCATTATATTCAACAATGTCGACCTTGGAGCTGACCAAGAGCGCGGGGCCCAATTACATCCCCTAAATCCGCAAGCCGCACGTGTGAACTGAAACATTCGGCATGAAGCAAGCCCCAAACTTGCATCACTACTGGAATTCGTCTCTTCCCTCAGCGATCGATGCATATTATTGTTCTCACCCAACACTCAGCATCAAAAGTCCAACCTGATGTGCAAATCCTCAGAAACGCATTCTGGGATAGATTCCCCAAACGAGAGAAGGTTGGAATGGGTCGCTCAACTTCATGACGAGACAAAGGTGCAGCAGTTCCGAATCGCAAATTCCTTCCCTCGGGATCGAAGACCTTGCCATGAACGAATTTGGGTGCCGGATGTAGTGCTGCAGCTTTGCCAATCTTGACTGCTTCCGACCCTAAACCTTTCACTGAGTGGAGCACACGTAAGGGTGCCGTCTCCGTCGTTGCCCCACCAAAACAGAGATGAAATTTATTATTTTTGGGGCTTGATTGGGCAGGTCATATATCCTCGCCGGATGAGTAGCTGACGTGGACATTCGTCGCCGTCGCCCGTCGTAGGCCTTCCGCTGCGCTCACGCGGCTGATGGCAAAGACGGGCAAGCGGCGGCGGCGGCGAGAGCGTATCGTGGCGACGTAGCATTGCGTGATCAGCACTCTCCCGTGTTTCCCAGCCCGTAGGGCGACAGGCAGCCCGCGATCTTTGTGAGAGTATCCAGGTCAGCAGAAGCTGAGGGTTGGAGGCGTGGACACTGGTTGTGTCGGTGTCCACCCCACCATAATGCGGCCTACGAATTCCTGTGCTGGAGTTCCTCATGCTATGTTGCATTCAGGTGCGCAATGGGCTGGCTTTCTCTCCCACTTAGGGTTTTGCAGTTGTGTTGCGCTTGGTCCCGTCCCCACTCACCCATTTCCTTTTTCGGTCTCAATTTTACTGTGATTTTCATTTTGTGGATTTGGCTGAATTTGAGTTTTCTTTCACGATCTTTGAGGGTTTGCAAACTGTGGATTCGCCAGGATGGATTCAAACATCTGGAGCAACTTGTCGCTGAATGTGTTGGAGTTGATATTTGCTCGCTTGCCTCTACAATCTCTGGTTCGGCTTCGGCTTCTGTCAAAGCAGTGGTATTCGCACTTGAGCTCGCCTGCCTTTCAGCATGCATTCAGCGACGGACAACCTAAAGATTTGGCAGTTGTGGATTTTAAAAGAGCTTGGGCTTATGATGCTAAAGTTAGGAGATGGCACGCCATTCCTTTGCACTACTTGCCCTTCCATTCTGTAATGGCAGCGGATGGAGGCTTGCTTTGCTGTGTAAAATTTACCAAACTTGAACAATGTCTTCAGTTCGTTGTGTGTAATCCTCTCACTAGTGCGTGGAGGGTGCTCCCATCAGTTGTTGGGGTGCGGATGTGTCCTGTAATATTTCATATGAAAGTGGATACGCAGTCCAGGCATTACACCATCAAATTTTTAGGTCCGTACTCTCCCTCCCACCACTACTTGGTATATGATTTGTTTAGCCAGCCAATCTGGCGGTGATTCTGACTCCTTGACAACTTTTGGAATGTCAGCTAATCGAATTTGCCTAAAAACGACATGTAATACTGCAGGTTTTAATGAACAAGAGGCTTTCTATATTTATAGTTCGGAGATAAACAGTTGGGAGAAAATCAGTTATAGCAGACAAACCGATGTAATGGGACGCTACTTCTTGATCGATGTGAATCATGGTATTATTCACACCTGCGACATACACCCAGGGACGTCAAGCGGGATCCTGTTTCCGCCGGATTTTCAGGACAGTGTTGCGCAACTGGAAATATCTTTTTTCTTACAAGCGGAAGAAGGCCATGTCTTTCTGCTGAAATCGTATAGCAGCAAGGACCAAGGAGACAGGGTTTGGAGTCAGGATGTGGGGATGAAATGGGAGGAATTTTGTTGCATTCCCAAGGCAGACGAGTTGGAGGAATACATCTTCTGCGTGTATCTCTGGAGGGATGTCATTCTCCTGCTTGGGAAAAAGAGAGAACTCTTTTATAATGAACCTTTTGAGTTGGATTCAGAGGAGCATAAACTAGTAGACTCTGGGAACGCTGAAGGCTTTGTTGCAGATCAGGTGAACGACAAGCTGATGCTGATGTTGGACTTGCGCACCAAAATATGGACTGACGTGACCGATCACAGTATAGAACCCGGACTCTTGTCCAGATTCATCATTGAGTTACGACTTGATGCAATTCCTTGAACAGCTGGATACGCGTGGCCAACAGCTGTTTTAGGATTGGAGTAGTTAGTGGCGCATTTGTAAGAGATCGTGTGCCCAATTCTTCTTTGAAAGAGTCGATTACCCCAACTGACTTGCTTCGAAAAGAGCTCCTATTAGTGATTAATGTGTTTGCAACGGATGCTCTTGTACCAGTTCGGCTCATGTTTTTACTTACATTTGCTAACCATGGATATGGTATTGCAAAATCAGCTCGAACATATTTCAACAGTTAGTTTGTAATGCTGCTGTGGATATCAGTGTCGACATCTGCAATGCATTGCCGGAATGAGTAGCCAACTGCAGAAGAGCCGGTCCTAGCTTAGGTTTATGCACGAAGAGGAAGATTTGACTTGGTTAGGAACGACACTATTGAACTTGTCATGAACAGTTTCAGAAGAGCTGGTCCTAGCCGCACTTCATGACACTATTGTTTTTGCATTTGACCAGGTCTAATCAATTGCTGCTTGACGCTTTTCAAAGCCAGTAAACCCAAAGAAGATGTTTCCGAGATCGTCGATACCGTTTATGAATGTACAAGTATAGAAGCGAGCCATATGGACAGAGGCTCATCTGTTGTGTGCTTTGACTTGTTCAAGGTGCCTTGTATTATAATGGCCTGCATCATCAGTTTCAACAGGATTTTCTCAGATGGACTTTCAGTTTTGGGTCAACTTAGCTAGCATCTAGCATACTCTACTAGGCACATTCATCAGATAGATTCTTGCTACCCAGTACCATTTAGCAAGTTAAAGGGCGCTGTTGTGAAGAAGGGCGTACCCTAACGAAGACTAAAGCTAGTTGGTTAGTTCGTTTACAATCGGCACGTTGAATGATATTTGGGAAAATTGCGAAGGTAAAGAGCACGCATGTGACATGGGGCGTTGGTGTGTGTTCATACTTGGTTGAGAAAAAGTCAAAAAGTTGAGAGAGCTAGTTGCTGAATAATGTAACGCGAATCGGATGATGAGTAACAGAGATTGATGTACCTTTGAGGAGTAGGATTATGGGGAATCTGGTGGACTTAACGGAGCTGGCTTGAATTTTCTACTCTTAAATCGCTGTCTACATTCCTCCTCAAACTTCAGATACTCTTCCTCCGCTTGCTCGTCCCAGGTGCAAGTCTTAAAAAATTCCTCCTGTCTTTGCTGCCCGCATTGTACACCATACAAATCATAACCAAGCATAATAACTAGTTCTAATTACACTTGATTAAAATCGAGCTATTGGTTTACTTCCAATACTGTCCTAGTAACTTATCTACATCATCTAACCCATTAAAAACTGGGATTATCGACTTCATTAACCATAGACATTGCCACATATGCTTCCGAGGAGATTTTCATAAATTTGGTTGTTTGCAAGTAGATCAAATGATCACACAAACTTGGAGAATAGCCTGTCTTCGATCCTAATCATCCATCTAGTTTAACATGAAAGAACATTCTGAATCACCTCCTCTACTGCTCGTATAGCCTGTCGTTTTGCAATCTCAGCACCACGACCTTCTGCTCTAGCTTCGACGTCAACCACCCAGGCTTGTTGCCTGATCATGAAATTCTTCAAAGCAGGCTTCTAAAACATGAGCAACATCAAATCTTCAATTTCAACGTTTGAACCCTTCTCTATTTTATAACCGAGAGGTCAGAAACTATTTCGATACAAATTTCAAATTGCTGATAAGCCTTGGGAAAACCATTCTAGCGTAAGAACCTCTTTGTAAGTAGCACGGCGAAGGCTTCGAGGAATCTCCATGATATGCACGATACCCTGTACATCTCCAACCGCAAGAAATTGGGGTGCTGGCATATCACACCACACATTTGTGAGATATGTACGAAACATCGTTGAGTTCGTGAATTGGTTCTAGATCCATACATGAAAACATTACAAGCAATTTAAACAATCGTCTATGCTTTAAACCCATGGCTCTTGCAAAATCGTAAATGGGTGGACATGAGGACAGCAGTACTAACATCAACTCCACTGATAAAGACAACTGTCTATGCTCATAAGATTAATATACCCTGACAGACAGAATAAGCTTACTCTTCATTTTCCAAAACTCCAAAACCGTCACTTGGCATGCGCTGGCATGTACTACCATGGATGGTTGATGAGTAAACTCAAGCAAGTCCCAAATTTCAACAGTTCCATCGATTAATCCTATGTATATAACCGCAGGCCGGGAGGGACTCCAACAACCAGTTGTGAGATAGCTATCTGAGGACCTCGAAACATAGATAGGTTTCTGCAACCGACAACATAATCAGAGATTGCTTTCATAAGTGTCCCTAGAAACGCCATAATGAACTACGTGAAGAATGAACGAGGTGTTTGGACAAGAAACACGAGACTCGAGCTCTAATGTCTCGATGCAAACACAAAGGGCTTCAGAATTTCCTCTTTTTGTGACAACGGCTTTGAGCATAGGAAACAGTTAACTAGGTAAGAGGATCACCATATGAAAAAGATCCTTTAATTGATGCTAGTAGGTGGCAACAGTAAAAAGGGGGCATGTAATTTACTGCCTCCTTACGACTCCTAGCTTTGCAAACAATATATACCTCAGGCAAACAAAGTTGAGAGATAAGTTGCTGAATGGAACAAGGTGCACCTCAATGCCACCCCTCCACAAGGCAAATGTCCAAATGCCTACAGATAAAAGCACATCGTCAAAGAAGGGTGACCGAAGAAGTGCTCGCACAGGTCCCTGATGGACCCCTGTAACTTTCGGAACATTAGGACTGCCAGCAGCAATGCTCAAATCCACCTCCGCCACCTCTCCAAACTGCAGCATTCAAACAAAACAATGAATCCTACACTGAACAACAAAACAGCTGAGTGGGGTTAGGAGGGGGAGGATTCGTGAAGTCATAAAAATCAAGAAGATCTAAATTGAAAAACGATGATTTAGAACACATACTCAACCATTGTTTCGTGAAACATAAAAAAATAAAATAAATAAAATAAATAAAATAAATGGCTCACCTCTGTACTGAAAAAATAGGTTAAGCCTCTGAACCCACGGGATAATTTTAGAGGTCCCAGACGCCTACTTTCAGAATTCAGCTCTAATTTATGGAGGGGCATCCAATTGTACTTCTGCTCCTCGTAGGCTGCCCACTTTCTCTCGTCGGACCAAGCTGGGTCCAATTGTGGTTCGTTTATCTTTGTGATGTCCCAGAACATAATCTGTAACCAGCCGTGTAAATGATTCAATAGAATCGTTCTTAAAGCAAAGTAGAGATTACAACAAACCTAACCACAGAAAAAGCGTAGATAATGTTCCACAGTTTCGCTTCTGACGTGTACCGTTCCATCCGCAGAAACAGAGGCAACGAGGTTGGCTTCACCATTATTCGCAACTCCGGTAACACTAATCTGTGATAGCAAAGCACAATGCACGCAAGCAGAGTATTACAGACGACACGTTTTAGATAGATTTAAGCAAAATAGATTTAAAGACGTTGGTATACCTATGACAGCTAGTGTATACAAGAGAAGTAGCAGAACTATTCCAGATGACTCGTAGCTTTAGAATCAAAGTGATTTCCACAAAGCTAGATCATGACCCTAAAGTAATAAACTATTGAAACCGAGAATGCCATAGCAATCACTACTGCATGAGGGTTATATTTTGTGTCATTGACTGTTAAAATGTGTATTCCTGAAGACGCGTTTATGTTGATGAACTCAACTGGCTCAACAGGAATATTTACCTCGAAGTCCTTGGGAAGCCAATGTATGTCAGATACAATGGACGTTTGAGAAGTACTCATTGTGCTGAGCAGGAGAAAAGCAACAACTGGAGGTTCTATTACTTTCTTTTCCCCTTTCTTCTCCTTGGCCAGGTAATTAGGTGGCACTTCGGGCTCCTTTCTATCTCTCCTATCTTGATAATCCTGAGCTTTTACGATGTCCCAAACTATGACCTTCACAACGCATATTTCAATAATACGGCAGTTTAGAGGCTGGTTATTTTATTATTTGCATGATACATGTACAAAACAGTTCACCAGAACATGAATTCAACGATGTTTTCATCCAAAGCTTTTAAAGTGGTCTACTCGATTTCCCAGCACAAATCTCATGGCCAATCCAAGATTTCTTTTCTTGAAATCATCATATTAATAAACCACTGCGTTTCGCGTATTTCGCAGATGGGAGACGATTTGCACCTGGCCATTGAAGCAACCACCAGCAATAATCGTCGGCTTTGAAGGGTTGAAGCGGAGACTGAAGACATCGGACGAGCTCTCTAACACTGCCTGCACAATTTCATACTTTGTTAGTTCCAAAGAGTCGTGATTTCGTGAGATGCATAAGGAATGTTGTCAATCGATATCTAACATTATTATTCAAATCAAATAAAAACTTATCATGTTGAGTCAAACTATGTACCCAAGGATGGATAGGATCAGCAAAAGTCCACAGCAAGACATAAGAACTGGCTGGCCTGTTCGCCACTTGAATCCTTTCATCAAACGAATGTGATGCTGTAATAGCAACTGCAACAATGCCTCGTTTTCCCGGCATCCAATCAATAGCTGACACCATCTTATTCTTTCCATAGTTTAGATCCATGAAGGATTGGTACTCCTGCATTCCAACTCACCACCCGCTGCTTCATAACTGTTACTCAAATGAACTCAATCACTCTGACACCACACTAAGAGCATCCCAGTCAAATACCTGTCGCCGTAAAAATTCAAACCTGGCTCCGCTCATATATCCAAAGCACTTGAGATACTACATGATGAGGACTCATTCCTTTTTTGCCACAGCAAAATTTTGGTTGAAGACAAGGCGGCCTCAACGTAAGGATTGCCTAGAACTTACTGAAACAGAAGTAACAGCTCGATCTCCATGTTGATATTCATCGTCGATAAACTGTGCAAACTCATCCTCGAACAGATCGAAAACTTCATTCTGTTGGAGGGCGTCCACGTACCTAGTTCATGCACACATCTCTCCAAGGTTAGAAATGCATCCTAGTCCTAGTGACGACATGTCTAAAATGCACCTTTGTCATGTGATAAGATTAGAGAGTTGGTTTATATGTCGTTCAGTTTAACGTTGGCAATTATTTAAACAAAGCTCGCTAGTTAAGAATAATATTAGCTCTTACTTATATTTGGCCTTCGAAAGAAAGTCGCCCATTTCCTTACTGCTCAAGATTTCTCTTGTCTCAGCAGCTTCCTTGGAAATAGGCTGATACTGCATTTGGTTATTCCGGTGCACCTTTCTGATAAATCCAAGTGTCATATAAACAAGTAAGGTTTTCATCCCCATCAAACAAAAATACGAAGCTAGAAAAGCTTAAATGATTTATTCAAAAACTAGACCTAACCTTGTACGAGCTTACAATTTATTGTGTGGTCAGATGTTCCTCAGAGCTGATGGGGAAGTAGATAACAAATCGTAAGGTTAAGCTCATAACTGAACGGTTTGGGCACTATTGTCTTTAGTAATTGGAATCGCCTGCGTTGCAGTTTCTCGCTCAACCATAAACTGGTCAAAAGAAGGGTCCTTAAAGGGACGGCACTCCATCTGACTACTAGTCCAATTTTCCTGTGAGCACCACATCCTTCTATTATTTCAAATGATTGTAAATTACTGATATCCTTCCATTATCAACTTCAGGGTATACAAAACTTCTAACACTTATCGCATCAAACCCCTCGTATTATCTGAAGAGTGAGCAGGTCTAAGTTTTAACGAAAGAAGTTCTTTGGAGGGGCTAATTCATACTTCGTCGCTTAATTCCAACTGGAATTAGCATCCTCATCGACTGATGTTATCAGAGAATTCCACAGCCCAAATCCTGAAGCAAGTTACCTAGGGTTCATGGATAATATGACTTCATCCACATTCACGAGATCGCTAAGTTTATGGCCCATAGACCTAAATGTATGTGGCTGTTTCCTGATACTTGGTTGCGATTAAGGACTGAAGACTCTGAAGGAGACAGGAGAATTGCGTACAAAGGATTCCTTATCAACAAGTATCGACTTTTGATAATACTCCTTGCGCTTTTTAGTTGCTTTGATAACAACCTGTATGAATTACAGTACGCATAGAAAGAATCAATCCCCATGCCATCCAATCCCCATGGCATATGAAATTCCTAAGTGATCACAGACTGACGATCTCTGCATAATTTTGAAATGAGAAATATTCTAGAGTAGCTACGGAAACAATAAAGATCAGTCTCAAAATTCAATCCCGGTAAAACAGTAGAAAAGGTTGCTACTGATGTGCACCGGATCACGGCTATTCCTAACAATCTCTGCATCAACTTCCGCGTCGCTGCCCAAATTTAACCAAACCCTGGGTCCTTCGCCTGCTGTCACTGCATCAATTTCATCTTGTACAGCCTGTAAATATTCTTACCAAAGCACAGTGTCAGTGAATAAACTCTCTCCAACTAATCGTCTAATCATTGTACAGGTGAAAATTAGTTCAAAGGATTCTATTTCGTAGAAACTGATTCAACTTCAGCACTAACCTTCTCAATGGCATCTCGCACTTCTGGTAAAACCACGAGCTCAAAATTATGATCACATACGTAGCGATCATCAGAAATGTAACGAAGAAGAAAATAAGGCTCGTGATAATTCTGCGAAGCGATGCAAGGTTCAGATTGTCATGTCATATAACTGCTTACATGAACTTGCGGCGTGGACTAGCATTTGACAGCTTGAGCAACCCCAGCTGAATTGCATCACAGTGGATCTGCTACAAGAGTTTCAACCTGAATATTCCGATCATGCTACCACCGAGTCAAATCTTCAAGTAATGGCGAGTGTACATACCATCAGCGAGTCCTTAATAGAATAGAAATCGGACACGGCTCCAGAAACCTTAATGTCCTCTTTAATCTGTTTCGTGTCCGCCTTGAAAAGCATATTGTTCTCTGTGTCTATTTTCTTCTCAATGTTTAATCTTTCACACGTAGCATCGAGAAGATGCAGTGATACCACGCCGTAGGGATGCTCCTCAGGCACTGTGGTGCATTCAATCATAATCCATCAGAAGATTCCAACATTAGAAACCGGCAAGATCCCCTCAACCACTAGAAGATACTCTATGAACATGATAGCAGATGTAGTCTCTGTGGTGACATCGACGAAGCGTTATGCGCAATCGTGTGAATCGCATTGCCATCTTAGTCATGCCCGTCATATCGAAGTAGTTAAGTGACAAATAGGGTACGTGAATACCATTATGACACGTTCACGCTGAAAATTATAATTCAAAAAATGAGTAGCTAGAAAGAACTAAAGCAGAGAAAACATACAAATAAAAACGAACCTCGGGGTGGGGGTGTAGGTGGTTTTTCCTCTTTCTTTTTCCCCGTTAAAAGCGCAATCTTTTCGGCCACACTTGTCTCTGCCATGGCTGAAACTTATTTTGTGTCGAATGACGTAGCCAAGAATGTGTAGGACCTCCAACTGCAAACAATGCACCCTAGTCTGTGTTTGTCCTTGTTCTGCAAATTGAGTCACTTTACACTTATTTTATCAAAATCTGCAACGTGTGATTCGGCAATTGCAATGGCAAACTTGGAATGAAGTTAACGTCCACGGAAGTTGATAGAAAGGTAGGGGAGATGACAAGCTTCTCTAATCTCAAACTGAACCCTAATACATGATAACTCTAAAAGCTTTTGTCCTCCATTTGCAACCTATCACCAAAAAGAATGGAGCACTGACAGATAGTTTGAGAGTTTAGCGAAGTGGAGCTTCAAAAAATAAACCAAAGCGTCATAGCAAAAAAGATTGCAAAACATCAAATAAATCAAGACAAATGTGACATCAGAAATGCAAGCCGATCACCTTATCATGACTGCCAAGTTCCAGCAATACGCTACTTGACACAACGTTAAAGCTGTGGATAATCGGGCAACTGGGAAAACTGTGAAGAGGAATGTATGATCACAGATAGAGTTATCCTGCACCTTAGAAGTGAAAGTTATAATAGACCTGCAGACAAGTAGAATATCGGACTAAGAGTGTAAAAGTAAAGAGCTTTATCGTAAAATATATTTCTGCCAATCATGTGCTCGGGCGGTGATGATAACTAAAACGTTGAGGAAAAAATTATGTCATATCTCTACTCTGTACGTGAACGCACAGTCGCTGACCCAAAGACAATTACAAGAAACTAAACGGAACCCAGGCATTGTTGTGTTACAAAAATAGGTTTACTAATCTGGGTTTCTATTTTTAAGAGAAAGGAGAAGTTGTAACTTCACAAGGTCCAGGAGTTCAGACTGGCGATTCGACAAATCGTCTTGGGATTGAAAACATGAATTGCTTGTTCATTACCATAATTAGATCTTCGCTTGTCAACGACAACCATTTACTTCGAAGTCCCAAGAGTCGTTGGCCAATTCTTCTGGAACCGCTTATTCCATACTGATCCCGGTCGCAAGGGACCAAGCACTTCATGTCCACCTACGGCTGGATATCCGGAATGACTGCCTTGGGCTAAATTGCTCTGCAAACTATTAGTCGCGCGGAATCTCAAATGAAAGCGGAGTACGCGATTTCGTCACAGAACCAATATCAGTGACACGGTTCACTACCAGGAATAAATTTTAGCAAAACCTCTACATTATGTCACTCATAGTTAACTAAGCAGCACCGCCAGCACACATTAGTGAAATCTTTCATATATGACTTCAACCATGACTGGGGATTCCATTTGAGACTTGAAATTGTCCCCAGGACATTTAGAAATTAAAGCAACACAGCACCCAGCTAATGCCACCACTTATGTATTGCAGATAATCATATCCTACTTGGAATGACGAGAGAAGTGTCAGACACTAAACAATCCTCGAATTCTTGGCAAGTACAACAAGAATAACCTCGACGGAACGACTGTTCGGACTGACATAAATATAACATCAAAGTTTTTAAAAAACAAAAACAGCAATCGGCAACACTAAGTCGTTTGTCACTGCGGATGCATGTCTTCAAGTTCCACATTCTTCGAGGACCTCTACATTGCTGTGGATCACAATTGCACTCTACCCCCAAAGGCATCAAAACATTGAACCATACACCTTGATGACGTTCATGAGCCGGGGCTAACGCTGATGGTTCCAATATTCCAGATTCCTTACTGGTAACATGTACTCGAAGATAAATAAAATAAAATAAAACTGCCTGTGTGAAGAGCATTGTGGGATAAACAGCACCAGTCTCCAACTGGCACGTCCTTCTACTTAAAGTCGCTATGAATTTGCATGCTTTAAGGAGTATCAGTGAGCTCTGTTACAGCAGGTGGATTGTTGTTGTCCATAAAGCAGAAAAAATTCACGCCAGAGGGAGAACTTCCAACCGCTAGGTCAATTCCTGATACAGATGCACTGGGTATAAGAGGGTGCACAACAGCTGGCTCCGCTGGTCCCCCTAGCTTCCTACGCATTGATGCTGCGATGCTGCCATCGCGCCTCTTTTTCCTCTCCTTTCCAATTGTCACAGTCTCAGAGCGCATCTGCTTGCACAATTCTCTTATGACTCGCATGCCTACTGCGTTCATATCAAAAGTTCAAAAACACATCAGTGTTGTGGACTACTATACCATGACCCTCCTTTTCAAGCCTTCATATCAGATGTCATTAAATTAACTTCATGCGAATTTAATTTGATTTTAGCAGTGGTCCGGAGAATATCAAACAGTTTACGAGTGCATACCTCGCCGTATGTTGCGTGCAGCTTTGCAGTTCCGGTAGTAAGGAGTCTTGAGCACCTAAAAAGAAACGACACCAATCACAAGAATGAACTTGCTACGGAGAAGAATTGACAAACGGTATCCTCAAGACCTAAAGCGGATGCATGGAATGTGTGCTGAAAAGTCTGAAAGGCAAACATGTAGTTCGAAAGCAGAGACAAACAAAATGAAGCGCGTAGAACTACCTGCAGAGCATTGGAGCGAATCTCTTGCACGGCTTGCTCCAACTCTGCGAAGCGGGAAAAGCCAGCTGCCACGCTCTGCTGCCTACGTTTGCGCGATACCGCTTTGTCAGCTTTCTCTTTATCCATCAAAGAGAGATCCATGGCTGGACTCCAATATGCACAAGCCCCTCGTCCTCTCGTTTCGCTTCTCCAGATAAGGTTCACGCCATACTGAAGCTTGAGAGACTAAGGTCGAGAATGGACAGGCAGAGACATAGCAATGTGAGCAAAGAATAGATGGGAGGGAGAGGAGGAGAGGCCGCGCATTAACAGATGGCAAGTCAGTGCTGACAAAGGGGGACGACATGGGCAAGAGAGAGAAGCAGGAGCAACTCATGTTGAAAGCCATGTGGTGGTGAGGCGATGGTGGTGGTAATGGCGAAGTGATGAAGAAGAGGGCATTGAAGGCACCATACGGAAGGTGCAGGTACAGCATTGCTCAGGGTTCATCAATGCGAATGAGCTCGCTACCATGGGGGGGCTGCACAGACGTGAAGACGCTACGGCGCTGCCTTTGGCTTTGGCTTTGCCTTGGCAGCTGGCGACCTCATTCTCTGCCTTGTGCGGGTGCATTCTGGCCTCCCACATTCGCCTCCCGCCTTCCTTTTCTGTCCCCCACGGATGTATGAGTGAAATCGATCAATGGATGAATGGCTGATAATTGGATTAAAAAACATTCCAACAACAGAAGACATAGAATTCTCCTCCTTTACATTGTCTCGAAGTCCATTTGCCCACCAAGCAAGTAAGAAATATTTTCGAGAGTTTTTTTTCAGAATGTTTACCTATTTCGACTAAAACTTTAGCTTCGTCCTGGAATGGCATGGAAGTAGCATCACACTAGAAGCTGTATGTTAATTTAAATGAATGTGTGAGTGTGTCAGAGTGGATGGAAATGTCTAACTAAAGAGAAATATATACATCCAAGTTGACAAAGTATGCGTGCCGCTCATTCATCCAAATATGGCAGATTCATGTATGCGGGGTAGGAGAGGACAACGATACTCCTCCTCAAAGGGGGGGGGGGGGGGGAGTCTTCTGCCATACAGAACATGGGAATAATGGAAGTCATTTCTGTTGGATGACACAGCAACCAGAGACGACGTGGACGGTCCCCCGCAATCTCGACCAATAGGAAATGGAGAAGGAGGCTGACGAGGCACAAACCCTCTGTAACCTGTGCGAAATGGGATGATGGGGTGACCCAAGCAAAGGGAAGCGAAGGGATAGAAAGGAATCCGGAATGGAGGGAACAAAGAGGGGGGGGTGTGTGAACGCGAACGGGGTGTTTGAAGAGCTTCGTCCATGCTGCCGCGGCCCCGCACTGCCCCTGCGCTGCTGCCCTCCCTGCCCATCCCGGCGATGATGCTGTGCGCAAGCTGTGGGTCGGACATCCATGCCGGCCTCTCTTCCTCGCCATCGCTACCGCCTCTCCCTCCCCCTCCTCCTTCTCCGTCCTTTTGGCTTTTTTCCTCCGCTTCTCTGCGTTCCTCTTTTCGACATGGGATGTGCGCGTGGAGGTTGAGGTGTTACCCAGCAGGTCCAGGATTTGTGCTTCGTTATTGGAGTCCGAAGGTAGGGCTGCGATTGTGCGGCAGATGGTTTAGATTTGAGGAGGTGCGGTAAGTGTCGATTCTATCCATAGCAGCGACGCGGGAAGGATCTACTTTTTTTTCTGGAGAAGCGCGGCGTGGTGAGGTTCGAGGGGCAAGATGAAGGGGTTGTTTAAGGATCGGAAGCGGACGGCGGCGGAGCTGGTGCGTGTGACCAGGGAGTTACTGCTCTCGTTGAATGCATCGCGCGATCCGAAACGCGAGGAGAAGATGGTGGATTTGGCGAAGAATATTCGGGATATGAAAATCGTGTTGTATGGGAATAGCGAGGCGGAGCCCGTGCCCGAAGCGTGCGCGCAGCTAACGCAGGAGATGTTTAGGGAGGATGCAATGCGTTTGTTAATACAATGTTTGCCGAAACTGGAGTTAGAGGTGCGGAAGGATGTCACGCAAGTGGTGGCTAATCTGCAGCGGCAACAGGTGCAGTCGCGGCTGATTGCTGCTGATTATTTGGACAGGAATAAGGACCTTCTCGATCTCCTTGTTGCGGGGTATGACAAGCCAGATTTGGCATTGCACTATGGTGCCATGCTTCGGGAGTGTATTCGACACCAGAGTATTGCTCGGTATGTGTTGGACTCGCAGCAGAACTTATGCAAGTTCTTCAAGTACATAGAGTTCCCTAATTTTGAAGTTGCGTCCGATGCTGTTGCCACTTTCAAGGAGCTATTGACGAGGCATAAGTCTACTGTTGCGGACTACCTGAACAAGAATTACGACTGGTTTTTCTCTGAATATAATACTAAGCTTTTAGCATCTCCTAATTACATCACGAGAAGGCAAATGGTGAAGCTGCTCGGAGACATACTGTTGGATCGTTCCAATGTCAACGTGATGATGCGGTACGTTAGCTCTAAAGAAAACATGTGTATCCTCATGAATCTCCTCAAGGACCCCAGCAAGAGCATTCAGATAGAAGCCTTTCATGTTTTCAAGGTATTTGTGGCCAACGAAAATAAACCACCTGAAATTGTAAACATACTGGTGGCTAATCGTAGTAAGTTCCTTCGATTCTTTAGCGACTTCAAGAGTGAGAAAGAAGATCCGCAATTTGACCAGGACAAAGCTCAAGTCGTGAAGGAGATTGCAAGTCTGGAAGCTTAAGGATCAGGCATAGTCCGTCCTCCTCTGAGTATGGCTTTATATTTTCCAGCACAGTTTGCGGCTTCTGAAGTCAAGGGTGGGACGCTTGGCTTATGATATGATCTACCAGAATGTTTTCTAATAAGGTGATATGTGCCGAATACTCACTGGAAGTCAGTTTGGTCAAATATGGTCTCGTCGACATGATGAAATTACAGTACAACGTTCTGTACTTGTGTAAGCATTACACACACGGGGTGGTACTTTAGCTGTTACTCCCTAATTTTTGTTGACTTATTTCCTGCTAGAATTTCTCTAGCTGAGTGGGGGCTTACGTTTGAGGATTTTAACAACTGAAATCATCTTACATCGGATTCTCTGTATTTGTATGACACAGCGCAGCTATATCTTCCCTGTAGTAGTTGGTGCCTTGTTTTTCCTGCTGTTGCTAGATAACTTCTCCATGGTCAATGTTTTAGGTCAGACACTGTAAAGTTGAAGTTCTGGATATAAGTATGTAGCCGCTGCATTTTAGAAGCATGAGGGCCGTGACTTTGTCTTCATGCAACTCATGTGTTCTCAGTTACGCGTTGAATGTGGCCTCGCAGAGAACATGAGAGGTCTTGCCCATAAACCTGGTTATTACTGGTCATAGATGGGTAGAAGAGAATGTGGTGTTGAAGGAGGCCAAGAGGTTAGGTGTCTCCGTCCTTAGGAGAAGTTGAGAAGATTAAGAAGGATACCAATGATATGTGACATCTTCTCATACCTCATTAGTGAAGTTTTTTCTTATCTACACAAATCGAACGAGCTGTAATGCAAGTAAATAAGCATTCAGGCCGTTTGTATACCCAGCTCCTGTTGTGGTGGAAACTGGAGCTGATACACAAGGGAAATCATCTGCACTCTTGAGCAATAAACCCAAACGAAAATTTACTATATCAGGTTGGTTTCTACTCAACACTTCTTTAAATGAAATCTATCACAGTGAATCTCTGTGGAGTTGTTGCACCAAGTTTGTCTATGTGGTGTCTTGATTTGATGCGTGAATGCACCAAACACTGTCAAGTAGACCAGTGCCATGGTGTCATGTTAGACTTGTATCAGTTGTGCTCACTCCCTTGGAGATTGAAGAACCCTTGGCATGGTCACATCTAGCTTTGGTATTGATATGGAGAATTGCATTCGACATTTTAAAACAATATTAACATGTGAATTTGTAAACCTCAGTGGCTTAATGCGAAATCTATGTTTCTAAGTGAATGTATCAATTAAAGTACATTATTTTCACACGTGTTCCATACTGTGTGGATAATCAATATGTAGTTCTCACACCAAATAATAATAATAATAATAGTATCAATCTATCACCTAATCATGCTTGCAACAATTTGATTCCTAGATAGTAAAAAAATCTTGACTGAAGCATTTGCTTTTATTCTATTTAATAATTAATATGTAAACAAGCAAACACTTCAAAAATATAATATTTTTTTTTGTTAGTCGAATGATCAGATTTTCAATCATTAAAATACATATCATAACAATGTGCTTCACAAAATTACGTTGTAGATGTACCATTCTTATTGTTTCATGAACACAAATTAAAATATTCATGTGTGTACACACACACACACACATATATATATATATATATATATATATACTAATTAAGCTTTTTAAAAATTAACCTAACATACTTTGATACTTCAAAATATGCTAAAATTTAAAGATAAATTCTTAATACCATCTTGTGAAATCAACAGCCAGGGTGCTCCATGGCATTGGAATGGGGGTATGGGCCACGGGGCCTCGTCACTACATGTCGCACAAACCTCCTGGCTCCGCCATCGTGGGCCTTCGGATCGCAGCTGGCGCTCAGATGCGATGTCAACCGTCGATTTTATTACGGGGAACGGAAGAAGGGAACGTAGGGAACAAAAGGGGGCGGTAGGTTGGAGGCCGGGCAGTTTGAAGGGCGGTATTTTTATAACTCAGAACCCATTCCTCGTCGGCCCCGCACTGATCCACACTGACATACATGGGTGCTGAATTCTGTATAATATAAAAATACAAATTTTGTATAATATAAAATTTTAAAATATATATATATATATATATATATATATATAATTTATTTATAAAGGAGATTTTCAAATACGTATTTTTACTTGAATGTATTTGTGAATAACTTTTTAGAAAATATAAGTTTGAATTAGTATATTTTGTGCATTGTCTTAATGAACACAATATTCTTTTAAATGTATAAAGGTGCTTCTAGCTTTATTAGAGTTATAAAAATAAAATAATTTTCATTATGCTTTTTTTCTTCAATATTTTTCCAATTGATTATTTGAAAAAATTAATTGTATTGAAATTATAAGTTATAAAATCTAAAATACTTAAAAAGACTAATATTATGTAAATAAAGATAAATATATATATATATATATGATTAAATTAGTAAATATGGTATTTTAAATTTTAAACTTATAATAAAATAAAATTTATAAATTATTATCTAAATAAAATTAAAAAATAATTTAAATATACCTCACAACTTCAACTATGTTATCTTTTCTAATACAATTGAATATGTGTAGAAGAAAATGCATATATTTTTAAAAAATACAAAAAAAATAACATAAAGATACCATAAAGGTTTTTATATTATTTTTAATTATTTTAATTATTTATTTATCTAGAATATAGTTTCTCTTGATAGTATTATTTTAATCAACATATATCACTAAACTAATGATGTTTTAATTTTTAATTTTTTTATTTTTTTCATCTATTTTACTATTATAAATATATTTTAGTATTTTAATTTCAATACAAAAATTGTATAAAAAATTCATTTAATCTAATTTTTTTATTTGTATATATATATATAATACTAATATTATAAAAAATCTTATAATCTTATACTAATATTATAAAAAATCTTATAATCTTATATATATTTAATTTTATTAACTTTAATATTATACAAATGTCTTGTAATGGAACAAAGTAAGTATGAAAGAAAGAGAAGTTAGAAGCTACAACACTTAACATCAGCAAGATTACACATAAAATGAAGTGAGGAGTAAGATGATTCTTACTTTTGGTACTCTTTACTTATAGCTAGAGTTTATATCGATTGTAGATGAACTTAATCATTTTCTTTATTTTTTCTTACATCCAATTAAACTCTAGATTCTTCTTATCTCAACTGCCATCTAAAAATCTTAGCCACTACCATAATAACATCTTTTAACCTTTTGTAATTTTTTGACTATTAACAACTTACTATGGTTTTAATTCTATGTGGTGGCAACTATACAAGATCTTAGTAATCTTCAACACTCTCACTTTGCTAATTATCAAAAGGCTTTTAAGTCTAATGCTTTTATCAGCTGGTGGTATTTATCTTTTATCAATGCTTTTGTAAGCACATCAACAAGCATGTCTTTTTTCGCACAATATTTCATACCAATTACTTCTTCTTCAATTTTTTCTTGTATGAAATGATGTTAAACATCAATGTGCTTGATTCTTAAATGGTGCTTTAGATTCTTAGAAAATGCAAGATGTCTTTGATTGTCACACATTATTGGAGTTCCTTCCAATTGCATTAGTCCAATATCTTCTAAGAGTTGTATTATCCAAAAAGCTTCTGTTGCATAATGACTTGCTGCTATGTACTCAACCTCTATGGTTGATCTTACAATGATAGGTTGTCTATTGCAATTCCATAGAATGACTCCCACTCCAATAAAGAATACATATCTGGTTGTGGATCTTCTATTATTTGCATCTCCAACCAAATCCACATCACAATATCCTTATAAATCAATGTTGTTACTACCAAAGCACAATTTGAAGTTCTTTATATTTTTTAAGTACCTCAATATTCTTTTTACCATTGCCCAATACAAAGATCCTACCTTAAACATGTGTTGGCTCACAACACTCTCATTAAATGCAAGATCCAGCCTTATAATTATGATTACATACATAAGTGAGCCTTTTGCTGCATTGTGTAGAATACTTTGCATCTCACCTTCAACTTGTGCATAGTCTTCATTTATGAGCTTCATCAACTTCAAATTGGCTTCTAAAGATATTTGAATGGGCTTATACTCCTCCATGTTGAATCATTTCAATACTTCTTCAATGTACTTGATTTGGCTCATTGTAATGGTCTTGATGCTACAATCTCTTACAAACTCCACTCCTAAGCAATAGCAGAGCTATTCCAAATCACTTATCTCATACTCTTTATCTAATATGGCCTTCTTCCAATCCATATTTTCCATATCGTTAGCTAAGATGATCAAATCATCAACATAGATGATTACAATCAGTAAGAACTCTTTAGATTGCATCACATATAGTAAATGATCTTCAAAGAAATAAATCCAAACAAAGAAGAACTCAACATCAATAGACTAAGACAGATATACAATTGTACATATTCAAAGTAGAAAGTAAAATGGTTCTCCATTAAAGCTAAAGAAGATCTTGATATATTGGAAGATTCAATTAAGATATTATAATTCTTGTATTAAAAAATAATAATTTAATAAGAGTTAATTCCTCCCATGACCAAGCCTTTAATAGCACTAGCAAACTCCTTTATTGAAGACTTCTATCCTAACAACTGTAGGATTTGATGAATAGGATTAGATATACAAATTTTAATATAATATAAATAATCTATTTCAAGATTATGAGGCAATACTAAGTAAGATGGACATATTTTGTACCTCTGCAGCTTAAATCTTTCTTTGGTCTTTACAAATACAAAATCAAGTTTATCACCTGGCTTAGCTTCAATACTTAGGTCCTTTAGTCTATTGCTATATACTAGCAAAGGTATAGTAGTACTAGAATATCCTTTCCCAAATGTCTTTGTAATTATTAAGCTTTCAAAAGGAATGTGATTTCTTACTAAAGATAACAACTTAGTTCTAATAAACTCCATTATATGTTCGTATGGTGCTGAATTCATTCTCATCTCTACTAATGACAAATACATATGCTTCAAGAATATGCAACTATCTCTTCTTGATACAACAACTACCTTGTATGTCATCTTATGTTTGCCAGCTATAAGTCCTATGTATCTCTTTTTTATAATTAAAAGAAATGTTTCAAACATAGTTTCAAACTCAAGCTTTATAAGTGTAGGAAATTCTTTTGATACCTCATTAGATATATGCACAGCTAATGCTTTGCAAGATTCATAGTCTTGAGCAGTATCAGATGTAAACATACACGAGTCGATATCACCATACACCAACTGTACTAGATATCTAGATGATATAATGCTTGATGCATGCATAAGCATTGATCTACCTATTGTTGTTGTGTACTTTGCACCTTCTATAAATTGTAAGTATGAAGAGTTACGAGTTCCATATGAATCATACACAGAATTAGCTAATATCTTTAGAGCAAGTTGTCTCCTTTCAAGAACTATATTTTCTATTCCTATAGCCATACTAGATTGTATCTTAACTTCTTTTCTTTTTAGTATTAATACCTTTACTAGAGACGATACCAATCCTAAAGGCTTCTTAGCAAATATATAAGACTTTCTATAAGATACTTACACAGTAAAACAACGTTGATTAGAATTCTTCTTAATAAATGTTGAATAGCATATATTATGTTTTATTACAATAGAAAGACATAAACTTGAAAAGTCAAGTAAAAAACACCATTTGTAAAGTCCATGAGTAGTATTTGATAGTATAGCTCCTTCATATTTAAACTCTTTAAGTAGAGATTTTGTTCTATCAAATACAATATTCTTATCATAACACTTTTTGTACAACTAAGACTTCACTCTTATTTACTGGCCTCTGGTGTAGAGATCTCTAATTCTTGTACTTGTAATAGTCAACATCTCTGTTACACTAACCCATATATTCATATTATCAAATAATATAATTATTAGTAATAAATCTACTATACAATATCTTGCAATAGTCTCGATATA